CAAATATTACTAAGGGCAGAAACCAACTCTTTTCTTGAGAATTGACTCACCATGGAATTTTTTGTCCAGGATTTCATCTGAGAGAGCTTTCTTTCCACATCTGCCTGAAATTGAACCAGGAAACATTCAAGTGAGAGAATGCTCCTTGCTTAGAACAATGCTTTCCTTTTTTCCCTTGAAAAGTTATTTTCCACTACTTATTTCAAAGAAACAGTTGCCAAAATCCTCACAGTTCAACCCATGAATATCTGCTTAGCAATACAGCTGAGTTCTACTAGTGTCTGGTTACAGTATTTCAGGCTTCCTAAGTTCTTTTTTCTTTTCATTAAATTGAATTTGGAATTTCTTACTATATCACTTCTGTTGCTTAAGAAAATGTGATTTTTTTCCCCACAACTGTAACTGACATTGAAACAAAAAATGACTGAAAATAGCATTATGGAGACAACTATATTTAAGCTCTTACCTTTGATAACTTGATAAGGCTAGATATGTGGTCAATCTGCAAAAGAAAATAAGATGGGGCCACAATGAGGAAGTGCTATTTTTTTTTTATAGAAACAGTCAATATGGAGTTAATCTTCACACTATTTGCCTCTACCACTGCATTCACACAATTGATTGTGTGAAATTATCAGCCTTACCAGATAGATCAGGTCAAGAATCCACTCCGCAGAAGGCTAAAACAACTTATATTAAGAGTAGTTATAATAATGGAATCTTACATATTTGATTGTGCTATACCTCATTGCCTTTTTATGTTCATGTGAATTAGGGAGGTATTTGTCTGAGTCTTTTCCAGATATTTTCTGCTTGTTGTAGACTTAATATATGCTTTCTCCTTCCTAATGGATATTACAATGGATCTGTCAAGTTTACCTTCCTTAATCTCTACATAATTTTAACTTTGAATCTTCCGATTTTTTCTTTCTGTACTACTTTTGTCCTAAATTGTGTACAGAAAATTTCAAAATCGCCCGGCTTAAACAAAATTATTTTATTATTTTATTTATGCATATATATCTTTTCTTCTAAAATACTATGTCATACTATGTTTAGCATGATGACCAAATCAATCAAATAAATAAAAATACAATATAAGGGGAAAAAAACATGATTTTTTATAAATATAATAAACCACAATATAATGCTCTAAGTTTACAAATCCTTCCCTGTCTTAACCAGGGCTTGTCATTTTGTTTGAGGTCACAATAATAGTTTAGTCCCAGTTTGGTTTTGTACTCCATCCAAAAGAAGCAGAAAGAAGGCAAATCAGAATTGGCTAAATAAGACATAATTAAGAGACTCTAACTTGTTCAACAAGACAGATATTTAAAAGATGTAAAGCAAATCTTGGATTACTTTTATGTGAAAATGTCGATGTTTTAAAATAAACTTTTAATGCCCAGTTTAATGGGGAGAGAGATAAAACCATGACTTAAGAGAAACAGAAAAATGGCATGGGTAGCTCTACAGAAACATTTTACCTGCACTCTGGAGAAAGGCTCAATAACCCGGATGAGGTTTTGTTCCAGTAAGTTATCGTACAGTTTGCCCAAATGTGTGCTGATGATGGGGTCATCCCTGAGTTCCATTTTATAATCTTTCAGTGCCTGCAGCAGATCAAGTTCAATCATTACTGAATGCAGGAGACTATTTCACTACCATTCTGACTAGGTTACCTGAAGTTAGGATAATGTTGCAAATCCAATCTGGGTCAGTCACCAGTGCCAGATGTTCAGTCTTCCAAGCTTTTGGACTTGTGATGGGGACTTGAAGATGGAGCCCATCTTCAGGGAAGTTTTTTTCTACTGAAATGTGGGGGGGGGGGGTGTTTCCTAGTAGAGAGAGGTTCCCTGAAAATGGGCTCCAGCACAAGTTCAAAAGCTAGGAAGACTAAACCTCTGATCCCAGTCACTGACCGACTGGATCCTGCAGATCAGTCATAGCTATATTTAGAATAAAAACTGTAATTCTTTTTAAATTACTTATAGGACTGAAATTATTATCTGACTAATGAAAATAACATTCACTAAAAATACACAGACCTATGAGCATCCATTAGAGACTTGGTCTTTTCATTTCTTGCAGCAACCATATGGTATTCCTAGGTAGTGATGCATTTTTGTTCAGAACTGAAGGAAAAATAGCACCTTGAAGGGAATGTAGGTATCAATGAATATGTTGCCGTCTTTTTATGGAGATATAAAGAGGGATAGCAAACATTCCCATGCTTTCTTAAAAGCATCATTTCCACTTTGGCTGTAAATGGCTTCTCATACAGAAGTAGCCCTAATCAAACTAAAATTTAATTTTGTAAATAAGCCTGAATTTTGATTAGTTATGCAAATCAAGATATTCAACACTCTCCCAAGATATATACAGAGATAAACATTTGAAGGAAATATTTGAACATAGTACTTTATTTCCTAGCAACAGAAGTTACATTTTTTTCTTACTGTTCCAAGAGTTTTTCTAGTTGGCTTTGGTTTATCTTCAGAATATTTTCACTGTCACATGCTTTGACTTATCATATAACAGCAGGATTCAAGTTATTGATTTTTCTGACTTTCAATGAAGAAAAAGTCTGCAACCTAAAATGCATCTTCTGAAGAAATCAGACCTTTGACTTAAGGTCTTAACAACTGAAAATGTGACCTTGAAAAGTGTATCTTGAAGACCCAAAAACTGAGTATAGGGAAGACATCTCCCCCCTCTTCTTTTTTTGCTTTTCAGTGTAGAGGTGCCTTTTCTAAGTCTAAGAATTAACCTAATCCAAAGATATTCAACCCATTTTCCTTATTATTGCTGCTTACCTTTTTGAAATCATCCAGTGATCGATTCTTACTGGCTTGAGCTACACATTTCAGTGCTTCTGTCTGTAAAACAGTAGAGCCAATACTTACATTCTTCTGAACCTTTAGATAGTAATATTGCTTGTATTCTCATATGAGAAAATTGATTAAGTTGGATAGAATGTAATTCAGGAAGGATACTTGGATCAAAATACTACCACTGCTTTGATTCTTCTACCCTCATTAACTCACACATTTGTTAAATCACAGAAGTATTGAGTTATGTTTTTGAAAAACTATCCAGACAAAATGACTTCAATGTGGAAATGGAGATTTAGGTTGTGATAATGAAGTACCTGAAAGCATCCAAGGAGTCAATGCAACTCAAATCCATCCATCGGGATCTAAACTCATTAAAATATAGAAGTGCAAACTAGGACTGGAAGTGGGAAACTGGCTCTGGTGAACCAAAAGGAGAATCAATTTGCTTTTTCTCATTTTATCTATATTATTCTTATTTTATTTAAATCTGTTACTCAGTGTTAACTATCCCCTGAAGATTAGATAGCTATACTATCCTGAAATACTGAATTTAATCCAGTTTAATCTCTGAAGATAAAAGACAAAATCACCTCCCCTATGCAACAAAAGAAGCCCCTATTTTACATAAATCATCAAGAAAACAAAATGATTATGCTGGACAAAAATTGTAAATAAAACTAACAAGACAAATCTGACTTTATTCACACCTCAAATATATATGACCATCTGAATTGGGATTTGGAAATAGAATTTAAAAGACAAGCATTTCTAGAGCTGTCTTCCTCTTATAAACAAGGAAGCAGGTGATCAGAATGCTTCTTTAGCTTTCATCCTGAAGCAACAATTCGTACAATTTGAACAGACCTTGTTGCCAGAAGATGCCTACTGACTGTCCGAACAGTAATTTTTATCTTCGAATATTAACCATCTATAAACAAGAATATGGATTCCTTAAAAAACAGCTTTTGAAACTCTTGGGCAAAAGTTGCAGATAGATTAGCAGTTTCCACAGAAGCTTAAAAGACTGCCACTTAGCAGTGGACAGCTCAAAAGAAATCTAAACAGACACAGTTTTATACAATTCAAATGAATCAAGTTGTTTAAATTTACACTTTAATAGAATTAATAGTGGGTGCTGGCTTACTAGAAAATCTATTACTATATTCTAGCATTTAGCCACTATTTTTCAAAGTGCTGTTTGCTGTTCAAAATAACCAACTGTGGCAGGATATCAAATTATTTTGTTGTCATTTAATCAATTACAATTCCTTCCATGTTTTGGGCACTTTGAGGGGCATTTTTCAGATATATCAACTGTGCATTTTTCAGGATGAAAAAAGGAGTGCATTCAATCCATTACCCTGAGCAGAAATTATCTTACCCAATTGCCAAGGACAGCATGCCAAATTATAAAAACCACGGCAACCAGTAACTCTAGCATTCTTGTCAAGACAAAGTTGAAATAATACTCCTAAAATAATGCCAAAAACGTCTTGCAGATGAGGCCTTAGAAACAGTAGTAATTAATTCTTTTGGACCTAACTGTGAGAAAAAAATACTGAGAATACAATGAATTTAAAAACTAGAAATAATGGATGCAACCGCCAAAACACTGACTTGGTATCCTTGAATTTGACAACAATGCAGAAAGCCTTTATAAATCTCAAGAGCCCTACAATTTAACTCCCTCATCAAAGCAAGGAAATTTTTCACACTTTAACAAGTCCAAAGTGGTCTAATTTGCTTTAATCGTGCCATTCTCTATGAGATCTGATCCATTTTGACTTCTCTGACTCAGACCAGGAAAGGGGACAAAAGGAAACTGATGCATCAACACCACAGACAGTCAAGGCTACCAGCCTCCCAATTCAATTGGCTCAAAGACAGTAATCCAACGATATAAGATCATAAGCCCATTTTGATGAATCACATCATTAATGCTGCTGACCCATCTTTCTCCATTCAGGTGGGAACAAATGCAAATTGACTGGCTCCCAAACCACTCAGGATGCATAAAAGACATGTCATAAAATACTGCTAGAAGTAGAACAAATTAGTAGCTAACTGTTTTGAGCAGGATTAAAAAACTTTCTTTAACAGGAGTCAACAAGGATTGGAAAACATTTCAGGAACAAAGAATAGTAGTTCAGGATTTTTATACCTGCCTGCCTGCATACCGCAATGCAAGCTTCCCACTCACCAATGCCTGCACGTCCTCAGGTCTGTAAAAAAGCATAGATATTTATTGAGTCCATGAATTCAGCCTACAAAAGTACCTCACCATATAATCATTGCTTTCCAGAAAAATCTGCATTCTACAATCGGTTTTATATTAATATATTTAAGGGAATGCCAAATAAGCATGAACCAAAGATAATCAAGAAAAAAAGAAACGAGCTATTTGAATATTTTTGACTCCAGGCATAAAGAGTAACTTTTGCTTATAGCCACTGGAAATGCCAGAGTTATAATTTCAAAAAAATCAAGAAATATACGTGAAACTACAAACCAAATGTTGACATCAAGAACAAAATAACAGCATTGATATAAGGGATTGGACAAAATGTTTCTAGGATTTCCTTTTTCAAATGCCATTCACCATGCGGAAGAAAAATCAAGAGAACCTTTGCTTTCTCTTAGCTGTCAGAAATGAAAAGTAAACAAGTTATATTTCAAGAACCTCCAGCTTTCTCAATAGTTAACTCCCTAGACCAAATCATATTTTGACTAGGAAAGCATACTATAAGACACTCAATTCTGTTAGATGGCAAGGAGCTCAAATATAGTGGCCTTTTCACTTTTAAGGGTTTGCTTCTATTAAGCACCCATAGGTTTCTTAGAGCACAGCTGAAAAAAGTAATATTTTGCCAGTGATAACGCAATTCCAATATGGAAAAATCTAAATGGGACACAAAGGCAATCATTCTACCCTTCTTTGCTCCTTTTCCTGGCTTTTAATCCCCCCCCCTTTTCCCCCTTTGTGTTCATATTTTTTCAGCCACCATCAGGATTTGAAAATCAATTTATCCATACAAGAGTTTAATTAACTGCAGCCTGTGGTATGATCAGAGCAACTGTCCTCTTTGCAGGTGTAAGGAAACAAGTACATGTTGCATTCCCTATTTGATGCAATAAAATCACATACAAGTTTAACATGATCTTGCACAGCAGCATATACTTCAACGCAGTGATGGCTTTGGGGCTGTCAATGGAATCATAACCTTCAAATGCCTCATAGAAGTAAGAATATGCTGTCTTCCAGTCCTTTTCTTCTGCTGCATGGATAATACCTATTAAAGGGAAAATAAAAAAGAATATAACAGAGGTAACTGGAGAACAAGATAAGGGAAAACACTGCTGCCAAATCCTATTTATTTCTCTAAGCAGAAAATTCTTGAACTTTCCTGTTGTGGGGTAGGGAAAGAAAACATAAATTTATGCATATAGCTAAAGAATTTCTAATCTTCACAAAATTCATTTTCATATATTCATGCAAAATAGTAGATATAATTTGTTCCAATATTTAAAGTTTCACCAACTTTTCTGATAGCAGATTGAATGAGACTCAAAACAACACCAACTATATTAAGTATCTGCTAAATCACAGAAATCATGTCAAGGAAATAATCAAGTGATGTTCAACTGTATAATTCAGGATAGAGTTTAACAAAAGAACATTATCAAACTATTCAGTTCTGTAACTAATTGCTAATGACTGCATCTAAACACTTATAAAAAACCATATCTGTTCTTGTAATCACTCAAACATTGGTCATTTTTCTATTTTGCATGAATAATAAAATAAAGCAATTCTTTTCAAAATGCTACAAGAAATCCAGAAATTACAGGCAGTCACTGGGTTACCACTATTCGTTCAGCAACTGCTCAAACTTACAATGGCTCTTAAGGAGGGGACGTATTACGGACCCTCAGAGTTCTAGCCACTAAAATGTTCCCACAGTACTGCCTGAAATTATAATACTGCTGCAAGGCCCAATCACGTGAGCACAATTTCTGATGTTCCCTGTGACTTCTCACAAGCAAAATCAAAGTAATCAGAAGTCATGGTCACATGAGTCCCTTGCTTAATAATGGTTGCTGTCACTTAGCAATACAATCATACAATATCATGTTGCTTACTAATGGCAATCTCTGTCTCAACTGCCATTGTAACTCGAGGACTAACTTACCATTCAAATCAAATATTCTCAGCTTACAATAATTATTCAATAATCTTTGGAACATACAGTACATAGTACAATTTTCCCTAGACAGACTGCTTTAGTGTGATTCTGTCTTATAAACGTTTTTGCAATATTAGTATTAGGTTTTTATATAAGATTTTTAAAAAATTGGACTATAAGATGCACTCCCCCCCTCCCCAAATGGGTGGAAACATCTGCACATCTTATAAAGCCTCACCCACCTGATGGTCACCACTCTTCGGCCTCCACCTCCCAGCAATTTCCCTTCTTGCAGCAAACAGCCTGGTCAGCCTGATTTAGTGCAAGCAGCTGATTGATGTTTGAGCTGCCTCCCAGAATACCACCAATCAGCTGTTCCAGGCTGCAGGGATCGTCATCACCCATTGGCACCAGCGTCGCCCGGTGCCACTGCCACTGCCCCCACGTTCCCCATTTCTGGCATCTGCATACCCCATTTTCGGCCTCTGTGTGTTCTGATTTAGGCCCATTCCAGCCGGTGGGGATAGGCAGCAGCAGTAGAATCCCCGCTGCCTGGAACGGGCCGAAAATGAGACACGCAGAGGCTGAAAATGGGACACCAGAGGCCAAAAATGGAGTGCACAGAAGCAGCAGTGGCGATAGATGGCAATGGCGGTGATGATCTCTGTAGCCTGGAACAGCTGATGGGTGATATTCTGGGAGACAGATCCAACTGCTTTAGCAGCTTGTGCTAAATCAGGTTGGGCTGAAGCTGACCAAGCTGTTTGCTGCAAGGAGGCAAATTGCTGGGAGGCAGATATTATTTTCTTGTTTTCCTCCCCAAAAGCTAGGTTTTTATAGTCCAGAGTGTCTTATAGTCCGAAAATACAGTAACTCAAGGTAGTATACATGCCTAATATATAGGTAAAACACTGAGGGGGAGTGACTGGCCCAAAGTTATCCAGCCAACTTTCATGCTTAGAGAATTTCCCCCACCCCCACCTTCTGGTTTATAGGCCAGCACCTTAATGACTATCCCAAACTGGCTTTTTCTCTTTTTTTTCTGTGACCTAGTTTGTTTTGCATGACATTATAAGCCAATCTTTCCCCATTTTGTGCTCTGATTGTTATAAGAATGCAAGAATTCTTATGGTCCTGGACAGCTAGCAAGGTGGCTGGGGATATATTGCAGATTAAAATAATCCAGATACTCAAGACTTGAAAACACTGGATTTTATTTCTCTGATTGTGCAAGTACTGAAGACCCAAGATCAAGGAAGGCATTCATAATACAAAAAAGCATAAGGCTTTACCTGATTGCATATCCAGTGCTGCCTGCAATTTGGGTGGACAATAGATTGCATTGGCTGTGGTTCGGGCAGAGGTTAATGCTGCTCTGGCTTTTGGCAGATTGCTCAAAGCATGGTACGTTTTGCT